ACAAATTGCTTATGAAACACCCGAAGCCCTAACGCCATGCTAGCAAAACCTCATCGGTCAACAAGTGGGAATGAAATAAACCATAACAACGATTGAAGGTGTGATCGAAGCCGAATAGTTCAGAATAGAGTAAATCCGGACCGATAGATAGGTGGTTGACCAGGAATCTGAGATTTGAATTCGACTCGTTTCGGCAAGAAGTTGCCCTGTGGAGCCTCAACAGCAACCCTCCATCGACGCCAGCAGTTATTCGACTGATGATGGATGTCACCGCAAAACGTACATCGTGCCGCGTTTGGCCGTGCACGGTGATTCCGTCCTTCCGGCTCTGGCTGACTCTGACTGCGGTTCCTTGTCTTTCGCTCCTGTTCCTTGCGCATTTGCTGTATCACGTATTCATTGATTTCCTCCTGGCTGGGTCTCTTCTGGTGTCCCTTGATGCTGCCGTTTTGAGGCAAATATTTTCCATCGTGGCTCATCTGCCTGACGACAAACGCATTGATCTCGTCCTGTGTAAGCGCTCGCGGCTTTGCTGGCACGTTGGATGTTGCGGCAACGGAACCTGCATTATCCGAAGCGTTTCGCGCTTTCACATCTCCCTGTTGGATAATCTTTTCCTGCTCGATGGCTAAGCTTGCAAGCTCCTGGAACGTTACGTGCTCGGTCGAGTTGGCAGCGGTTATGCGCGGGTCGCGCAGCATGGTGGTTGCCCATTCCTTCCATTGAGGACGGGATTTGAGCTTGGTGAGGAACAGGGTATTGACATGAGCATCGGGGATCTGAAAATTGTCGTCGATTTGCATAAGACCTTCTCGTACAGCTTGGATGAGAGCAATGAATTCGGCGACCATGTCGGACTTGCTGGAGTCAAGATCGAGGAACTCGCCGACTTGGTGCATCATTCGGATATTCCGTTGCCAGATATCCATGTCGGCCTTGGCAGAAATTGAATACAAAATGCTCTGTGATTGAAATGGACGAGATTATACGAAAGTATCTGTTCCTGAGAATCCTCTTCTGGTGATGTTTATGTTGACCGGAGAGTCGGCGCCAATCAGTGGTGCATGATGTCATGTGTCAAGCTGACTGTATTGTATTTACCGGATGATGTTATGTCCCTTCCCTTCTAGTTCATTCCTGTACCTTTGGTATTCTAAGCAGAATTTCAATATTCTTCTTCAACCTCTTCCGTCAATGGAAAGGGCACAAAGTTACGACATGTCTGTGGTAGGCACTCAGTTTCCAATCCCTGGAAAAGACTAAGCTTTGATGGCATCGCGCTGTACGGAGTAGATCCGTGGTAGTTGTGTTTCAGGCTTCCAGCACTAGCCAAGAGCCGAAGAGGGAGTCCCAGCGTCAGCCTCAGCCTCAGCCTAACTGACGATCGTGAACTGGAGGGGGCCAAAGAAGGGTCGATTGCTAATGATAGTAGCGCTCGTTAGATCGGAGATGCTCCTTGCTTCCAAAAAACCATCAACTTGTGTTTCGACCTTTCCACGTCAGCATAGCCGAGAATCTGTATATAACAGGAGAGATGCGACCCTACGCTTGACAGTCGATTTGAGACAAAGGACGCTGATCAGTTCGGGTCCCCGCTGAGCGGAAGATGGACATCGTCCCGCCATCGTATCAATTTGCAACAGCCAGAGATGCCTGGTCCATAATCGCTCATTACATCCCATCAAGCGACCTATGCTCGGCTGCGCTCGTCTGCCGAAAATGGCACGGCCTTTTCATGCCCTTCCTTTGGGGTGATCCAGCCTCTCATTTTGGAACCGAAAATGATGCGGTCTATGGTGAGACTTGAGGGTCCAGCTCTCTCTCTCTCTGCGGTTTTCCGCTAACAGAAAGTTACCTGATACCAGTCGCGTTGACACGATTCAGGAGGACATTGAGATATGCCCGTCTTGAGGTGCGAATGCTCACACATACGCTTCGTATGCCACCGGCCCTCTCTGAGATCTATGGCGGCCCGCGACCCGAATGGCTGAGGGAGATCCTTGAGTTTCTACCCTGCCTGCAATCTCTCATTGTATCCAGATTACCTTTCTTTGATCATAGTGCTATGATGGCGTTGAAGAGATCCGCCAAGCATGAACCGCCTGATGCAGCGGCTTTCAAGACATACAGCGTCAGATTGCTGATGGCGGAGAGAGAACCAAATGCGACGTCACAGGGACTCGCAGAGACATTGCTACGGTTCCAAGAACTTGTGTACCTGGACTTGTCATATACGACTCCTGCTCGAGATCGTACGGTATTTTCTTCCCTGTCTCAACTGGACAGGCTCCAGGTGCTAAAACTCCGAGGTATCGGTTTGAGAGACAGTGAAGCTGAGTTCTTAGCCAACGCCCTTGGGACCAGGGTCCGTTTCTTGGATCTGCGTAACAATCTGCTGACCGATATGGCTGTGCGATCTCTGCTGCAAGCTTCATTTGTCCCTAATGGCCTCCCTACAAATGAAGTTGACCGGAGAGGAGGATCATTCATATTTCATGATAGATTACTCAGACGCGCTGATTTAGATGCTCAGTTTGTCAAAGCTTTGACACAACCCTTTACAGGCCGTTCTTGGGTTGAGGGCCTTTCGCACGTAGGAATAACACATCTCTACATCGCGGACAACCAGCTTACAGTCGAAGGCGTTGCGAGTCTCCTGGCTTCATTGAGACTGCACGTCCTCGACGTTGGAACGGTTGATACAGCCCAATCCTTGGAGAGAACACGACAGCCAACAATTTCATCGCCTATGACCGAGAAACCCGCTAGATTCCCTGGGGCTGAGAAATTGATACCAGTACTTGGGTCTATCGCTAAAGAAAACATAACATATCTTCGAGCTCACCATGCTCTCTGCACAGCTGACACTTCTTCTAAAGCGCCTGACTCAACGCGGGACTTACTGCCTGAGCTTCCAGATGAAGCCAGCAGTAGCCTCCAACGCAGGGCGGAAATGGACGCTGCAAACGAGATTCATGAACTATCTGCACAAGCCCATCCAGTTTTTGAGCTCGAAGCAACTGAGATTGCCGGACTTTCGAGCCCAGCCGGTGTTATAGATGAGACGCGCCTCCAGTCAAGCACTCACCGGGACGACCCTGTACCTCAGGTGAGAAGGGCTTCCATATTTGCTCCCGAGGTAGTCGAAACAAACCAGCGTCAGGACAGCAATGGCAACATGACAGCCGACCGTAGCGAAACAGTGAATTCTAACCCTTTCACGGCTAGCATAGGCCCAGCTCCAGCATGCCTTGCACAATCCGGTCTGTATTTGGCGGCACCTGAGCCGGTTTCACGATGTGCCTCTGCAGTTTCACCTGAGGATTTTCGGGCACAGAAGATCCAAGAACTGCTTGCCAAAAGACCTAAGAATCAGAGCTTACCTCGCCGCGATGGTAGGGGAGGGAGCTTTCCGTATTTGCATCCTTCCCACGTCCCTCACCTCGAGACTTTAGTGTTAACCGATGTTCCGTCTCATGTTCCTGAAGGCTCTCACATCCTGCCTGCCCTAATTCGCTTTATAACCGCCTGTTCGAACGAGGCCCTGTTAGCTACTCTCGTGGCGGGATCGGACTACTCTCTTCCCCCTGGAAGAGCCCGAGCTCACGCTGAGCAGGAACGATCTCGGTCGCTTTTTGCTCTGCGTCGCTTGGTACTTGAAATTACTCCCACGACTCATCTGGCAGGTCCAGTCCGGATCAGCCCGTGGAAATCCATCAGTCAGCAAAATGGGACGTTAAGATCCAGTACCGGCGACCGTGATTCCGAGAATCTGTGGTCCGCAGCTACAGGCGACTTTAGTTTCTTCGGGGAAGATGAATGTGGTATACCCGAAAATGATCCGGGGAAATACTTTCCTATGGCTACACTCAATGAGAAGGTGACGCTCATACCAGAGGACGAAGATTCCGGGCGTTCGGGATCTCCAGAAACAGATGCGTCTTTCGCGTCTAATTCATTCCAGCCTGCTGGAGCTGACTCTCGACGGAATCGGTTGCAGACTGGCTCGTTGATCTCGGTATCTGGCTCTGTAGCCGATGCTCGATCGGGTTCGGTTACGGCCAATAAAGGTGATGGAAGCAGCATGCCCGCTGCTGATACCAAACAGGTCGACCTTGTCGCAGAACTGGCTGCCTTCCGCCGAGCAAAAAGGCTCGAGTACGAAGAAGTTGTCCGAGCCGATCGGGAGAGGCGAAGCATGAGCTGTACTGCATCTTCCCATCTTTTTCCCCCAGCGGAACCTATTCGATCAGTGTCTCCGAGTCCGAGTGTAAGAACCATGGCAGCGGTCTCTACACCTCATCTGTCCATAGCCCAGTTCGTCGAAGGACATTGGAAAGGCGAAGTAAAGATTGTCCGCAATGCAGCGCCAAAGGGGCGGACTGGGGTCGTCGATATGTATGGGAATTACTTTGAAAAGGGATATCTATACCCTTGAACGATGATATATTTTTATTGTTTTACTTATCAATGGTAGCTTAGGCTGGCATTAGATATGCAGAATTACTTGCACCGGTGGACGTGCATAGTTGATCGTGTGGCAAATGCATATTTCTGTCATTTAAGGCCAGGAGAGCTTCTACTGTAGCCCTAGTCCGGGCCTGAATGGGTCAAACGGCAGTGTTGGTTTTCAGCTGGTATACCATAGTCAATTATTCCAATTGTGGTCGTGGCGGAAAAGTTAACTGTTAAGGTAGAAGAGGAGACCGGGCTCCTCGCAATTTATTCCTCGTTCCCTGACTTTCTCTAGTTTATGCAAAGTTACCCTATGGGACAACCGAGTGGCTTGGAAATCGTTTTTTTATTTAAATTGCGTCTCCTGCTCACGGCGACAGGGAGCGACCATTAAGCCTTGTCATGCCTTATTTCGAACCCCCGAAGACAGACTGAAACCCATTCATTCCATTTTGAACCGAGTAAGAAAGTTTGTACGAAAAAGAAACGTCACAAAACAGAAGTCATTAAGACCAATCCCATTTGATCATCTCTTTTTCCCTTCCTTACATAGCCTTGGCGGCCTGAGGAGGAGCCAGCTTCTTGCCGTCCTTGTTGTACCTGATACGCGGGGGAGGAGCACGGTTACGACGACCTTCCCGGGAGCGGACACTGTAATGGATTGTTAGTAAGACCTGATTCTTTCCTTCATGCTGCATATCCATGTAGATTCCCAGCTGTATCAAAAACGGGATGGTGCGTACCGAACGATCTTGCCGTGGATAGCGCAGGAGACGCAGTACTGCAGCTTCAGGTACATCTTAGGGACGGCATAGTCGGTGAAAACGGACGCGTCAGAGATATCACCTGTGTGTTAAGAAGGCCTCTGGTCAGCTTCGTTGTCTATCAGCTTCCATTTCCACCACGTCCAGGTCATGCGTCGAATTGTGATAGCTGCGTCCAAGAGATTCCATCCGTCCAATCCAGTTCCGAATCATCTCAACGGCGCACTACGGACGTGGCTTCAATGGTATGGGTTTGACAAGGGCTCGAACGTACGGATGGCAGCGGACTCAACCATGTTGCGGATGGTGAATCTCTTGATCGCCTTGTCCTTAGGAGTGCAACGAGCGCAGTTGGAGCAGCGCACGGGCTTGACGTGGCCGCGGCCATTCTTGTTGCGACCGCTGTAGAGAAAGAACAAGAAACGTCAGTATGGATCGATTCACTCATGAAATTGAGATCCAAAATTTCCCCTCCTCTTTCAATTCCATTATGAAAAGCACCGCATATACAGCCGACATTCTCGACAGGCGGGAAATCAGGACGCTTCCTTCGGCGGTGGCGGATCTTCAAATTTGACAACCGGGTTGAACATAGGAAAAGGGAAATTCGCGCTTACTTGTTCGCCCTCTTCTTGACCATTTTGACGGATTTCTCTGCAAGGTACGGTCAGAGATTTGGAGTTGTAGAGGGAGGGAGGCGGCGTACTTGGCTGTCGGGTTTGGTTGTCGTAAGGCACTGGACGCTCTCAATCGCTAGTCGTGAATGAGGTTGTGCCGGTTTGTGTGGAAGCCCTATGCCCTTAAGCGAGCCTCGGTCACGGGATAGTCCTGGTGCCTCAGGTACTAAGGCATTCTAAATTGGTGGTCTGACATCCTAAAACCAATTAGATCATCACGTGCAGATCCAGTTCTTGTCGAGGGGAGGCTAAATTAGACTAGTGGCCGGGTCGTCCCAGCATTACGGGTCTTACGGTACTCACGTACGGCCCACGGATGTACCTAACCATTCCTGACGGGGACTCGTACCACTCTGTGGTGTCAACAGGGCGGCTCCCGTGAATGGGGCGTATTGTTATTACCCATTGTTTATCCTGCCCAACTCTGGCTGTTATTATTAACTCACTAACAGCCAATAGTTGACCCTCGAACTCCCTTTGAGACAACCCCTGTTCATCCGTATCTTTCTCGTTGTACTTGGGTCGTGCTGGTGGTCTGCTGCTCATCCTCAGTGGTACGTTGTATATCTCTGCTGACAGTCTCTTTCGTCTTCTCTGTTGAATCTGACATTGATCGAGTAACTCGTGCTCAGACTCCTGATACCTATACATTGAATAGGTCTGACAATCTAGCTCTCTCGGTTCCTGATACCCCCTCACCGAAAATCCGTCCATACCGATCGGTGCCATGTCGGCTGCAGGAGGAACCTATCGGGGCACAACAAGCCAGAAGACTCTCGGAAGAGGGAGGCTCCCGGACTTTGAGAACAGTCCTACATCCCACATTCCGCGACCTCGACCAGAAACTGCAGCTTCAACGCACACACCGTCCAGCGACGTTGGAAGTTCCACCATGAGTGCTGCAAGCAGGCAAAGACAAACCCAATCGAAGCGAGATGAGGTCAGTATTCCCTGGTGGCCTATTCTTGGCCTCAAAATTTCTAGTTGCACGGCCTTTATTCCCTCCTAGCCCCTTGTTTGTGGTCTCCCCACAGACCCGTAGCGAACAGCGATTGCTGGCATAGGAATGAATTCTAACGCGCTGTTATGAAGGCTATTCGACGCAAGATGGAGGCGGACCTCAATAAAAAGAGGCACCAGGCTCCCAGAGCGCATCGCACGCGCAAAGCTCCCCCAGGGACCGTGCTGGCTTTGAAGCCTAGCCAAGCCCTTCAGATTAAACCCAACACTACCGTCGCAGAAGCCGCACAACTGATGGCCGCGAAGAGAGAAGACTGCGTTCTTGTCACAGACGATGATGATCGCATCGCTGGTATTTTCACTGCGAAGGATCTTGCGTTCCGTGTGGTCGGAAACGGTCAAAAGGCTCGCGAAATTACTGTTGCCGAGATCATGACGAAGAACCCTCTGTGTGCGAGAACCGACACCAGCGCGACGGACGCACTGGATCTCATGGTTAGAAAGGGCTTTAGACATCTGCCGGTTATGGATGAGAACCAGGACATCTCCGGTATCCTCGACATTACGAAGTGCTTCTACGACGCGATGGAGAAGCTGGAGCGTGCGTACAGCTCTTCCCGAAAACTCTACGATGCCTTGGAAGGTGTGCAGACAGAACTAGGCTCCACTCAGCCTCAGCAAATTATCCAATACGTAGAAGCACTGCGGTCAAAAATGTCCGGCCCGACCCTCGAGAGTGTCCTGGATGGCATGCCTCCGACTACAGTATCTGTGCGCACTTCTGTCAGGGACGCCGCGGCTCTGATGAAGGAACATCACACAACTGCTCTGCTCGTGCAGGACCAGGGCTCCATCACCGGTATCTTCACCAGCAAGGATATTGTCTTGCGCGTAATTGCTCCAGGACTGGACCCTGCCACTTGTAGTGTCGTCCGTGTGATGACCCCACATCCCGATTTTGCTCCTGCTGATATGAGCATCCAAGCCGCTCTCCGCAAGATGCATGGTTCGTGACCTCGGTTTCTCTGAGGCTGCAACAGATTGGCTAACCCCCTCTACTCCAGATGGTCACTACCTGAATTTGCCTGTTATGAACGAGACGGGCGAGATTGTCGGCATGGTGGATGTGCTCAAGCTCACTTATGCTACTCTTGAGCAGGTTAGTCAAAGTCTTTCCGAAAATTATGACTTTCAACTGACTAGAGATGCAAGATCAACTCCATGCAATCGCATGACGATGAGGGCCCCGCATGGAACAAATTCTGGTTGTCAATGGATCATGAGTCGGATTCAATGGTGTCTGGCAGCCACCAAGCGCCGAATCGTTCCGTTCTCAGCCCGGAATCACCTAGACAGGGTGTCGACAGTGTGCTCCCTAACGAATCCGCGTCCCACCACGGCGGAGATGAGCTCTCGGAATATCACGACCATCACCATAACCACGACGAGAGCACTCCGTTCCCCTTCAAATTCAAGGCTCCTAGCGGCCGCGTGCACAGAGTCAATGTTGTCACTTCCGCTGGGGTCGCTGACTTAGTCGCCCAAGTCACAGCCAAGTTAGGCAACGAGCTGGAGGCCGTCGGAGGTGAAGCCACCGTCGAGGAGGGCAAACTCAGCAATACCGGTTACGCGTTGAGCTACTTGGACAATGAGGGTGACACTGTTTCTATCACCACCGATCAGGATCTGGCAGATGCCGTCAGTCTCGCCCGTCGCTCACACCGTGATAAGGTGGATCTTTTTGTGCACGACCCCGCTCAGCCCCCAATTCCGGCAACGTTGGATCCCCAGCCTGCTCCGGCCAGAGTCGTCGAAGAGAAAAGTTCTGTTGTTGCTGAGGAGCGGCTCTCCGAGGAGCCGCTTATCCCCAAGGCCCACCAGTCGTACCCAACACGTCCCACCGAGGAGCAGTTCATCGCCGGCGTACCCAATGAGCTTCTACTTCCAGGTGCCATCGTAACCCTGGCAGCAGTTATTGCTGGAGTATTCATCCTCAGCCGCGCGACAAGTCGATAGACGATGACACCGGTTCAAAGCGTGGTTAGTCCGATGAACGGCAAGCACATTATGTATATCTGTCAATCTACTCTGTCCCAAGTGCGACCTCTTCCCTCCTTCATTTTCCCATTCTCCATTACCATCTTCATTTAATCTAAGTGTGACTGTTCGGATACCGTTAGTGTTTTAGTGAGGCATATTAGCAATGCATATAGTTTTCCCTAGAAGCATGAAAATCTGTCTCAAGAATATGTATTTCTGTTGTTGAACTTCTGTAAGGGCGTCTCAGTAGAAACCACATGGCGGTGTCAAAAGTGCATTGATGCCTGGATGCCTGAAACTTCCAAATTAGGCCTAGTGCGGTGCTCCCTCGATGGCTGGAATTATTTTTTGGTTTCTGAGGCTTCAACTGGTCCATCCCACATCGCTCACGACGCCCTGAATTGTCCCCTCCTGTTCGCCAGCAGCTCCCTTGTCGAGCTGGAATGCTGAGCTTGCACTTGTACTGTGCATATTTCTGGATTTGATTATCGGCCTTATCTTGTCAGATCACACTAGTCTTTAGTCTTTCAACAGACACCGTTCAACGGAGTTTGTACTTACAGCTTCTGTCCACCCCCACCAAAGAAAAAAAATAATAACAACCAGAAAAGGGAATACAGTCCCCATCCACCAGCCCAGCTTCAGCGCTGGATACACACACTCACCGCCGTTCCTAAACGGGGTACAGTCGATCTACAGCTGAATTATCGTTTCTACGTGACGAGCGATCAACATGTCGCTGCTCCCACCCGAGGTTCACTCCGCGCTGTCCCAGCTGCTGCGCGCGTTGACCACACCCGATAACACGGTCCGTACTCAGGCGGAAGGACAGTTGAATAATGACTGGATCCAGAACCGTCCGGATGTTCTTCTTATGGGCCTGGCCGAGCAGATTCAGGGTGCGGAGGATACAGTAGTAAGTGATACAAGTTTTGTCAGGGGATATGGGGACCGTGTCTGGTGTAGGCAGAGAGACAGACTGGAAGCCTTCTTCCCATTACGAACTTAAACGCTGTGCCCGCGTCTTGCTGAATTCGACTGATTTTGGTTAATCTTCACCCGCAGACGCGTACATTCGCCGCCGTGCTTTTCAGAAGAATCGCGACCAAGACAAGGAAAGACCCGGTCACAAATGAGGCCAAGGAACTCTTCTCAACACTCTCCGGGGAACAGAGATTGGTCATCCGACAGAAGTTGGTGAGCTGTTTGACGACCGAATCTGGGACTGATGTCCGGAAAAAGATTGGCGATGCAGTGGCGGAGGTTGCCAGACAATACACCGATAACGGTATGCGCAATTTCATGGGTGGTGGAAAGGATTTCATATCTGATAAATTGTCTTCTTTAGGCGATCAATGGCCCGAGCTTCTCGGCGTGCTTTTCCAGGCCAGCCAGTCACCCGAGGCAGGTTTACGGGAGGCCGCCTTCCGCATTTTCTCGACCACTCCCAGTATCATCGAGAAGAACCACGAGGATGCCGTTTCAGGCGTGTTCGGCAAGGGTTTCAAGGATGATGTTGTCACTGTATGTTGCGACCCTTCAGCACAGCGTTCGCGAGAGTCCTGGTTGACCATTGCGCTTGTAGGTTCGCATTGCTGCTATGGAGGCCTTCGCCTCGTTCTTCCGGTCTATCTCCAAGAAGTCTCAGCCCAAGTTCTTTGGACTTGTCCCCGACATGCTCAACATTTTACCTCCTCTGAAGGAGTCCTCCGAGAGCGAGGAGCTATCTTCCTCCTTCTTGGCTCTCATTGAGCTTGCCGAGGTTTGCCCAAAGATGTTCAAGGCCATGTTCAATAACCTGGTCAAGTTCAGTATTAGTGTGATTGCCGACAAGGACCTCAGCGATCAGGTTCGCCAGAATGCCTTGGAGCTGATGGCTACGTTTGCCGATTACGCCCCCTCGATGTGCAAGAAGGATCCCGAGTTTGCTCAGGAGATGGTCACTCAATGTTTGAGCTTGATG